CATTTCATGTTTAACATGTATTAAAACACGTTGTAGTCATTAGTAGTATTATGGTATGTACTTACCTTCAACCCTCAGGTCTGTTACGCTCAAAAAAGTTAAGTCTTTTTGGGATGTTTTAAAACAGCAGAAACTGCAGAATCACTCAGATGGGCTTTTTCAATATGCAGATCCAATGTTCCAGAGTGTTGTGTGGCTGTAATGTGACGATCACTCTTAAAGCTATTTGACTTCATCAAGTATTCAGGAACGTTTCCAGAAACAAGTCTGATCCAAAACACGCTCCCTGAGGACTCTCGGGCACAACTCAGTTTCACATCACTTCCAACAGCAACAGTCCTCGTCTCCATCATCTGATCCGAGCATCCTGAGGAGACATCATTCACATCAACGACAGAGAGTCCCGTGTATTCTCACATCAACACCGTGAGAACATGAGTACACTTCAGAATGTGGAGTAGATGTGACATTTCTACATGTACTTACGCGCCGCGCTGAGAATCAGCGTGAAATAAAACACCATCCTCATTTTCCTGATGTTCCACTTGAGACTGAACTCAGACTAATCACCACATGTTTTACCCCGATGTCCTCGTATCAAGTGGGAGGTGACGGTTTCAGAGCGGTGGTGTTGATGTGCACCACCACAGAGGAAATCTAACGTCTTTCTACCTAAATACATGCGTTTCATGGAGGGTTTCTACAGCGCAGAGGATGTCGCAAGGACTTTTATACCGTGTAGATTTGAAAGACGTATTAAGGGTTTTGTCTGACTGGTATGTCACACATTGATGTTCGAGGAGGCTTGAGGCTGCTCGGAGGATTCATCGAGTGTTTCTCTGGCTCAAGGCCGCGGTTCCTTCTGAGTCAACAACAAAGGGATCTGGACCTCGTGACACATGCTAAGATCAACATGCTAACATCAACATGCTAACATCAGAGGAGTTACATACTTAGAGTCTTTTAATTGTGATGGATTGGACAGTTTAAAACCAGTTTGACCACTGAAACCAGTTCTTAGTTCCCCTCCCCAATGATGACCCTACGGTGAAGGGAGGGAGCAGAGCGCCATCACACGAACGCACTGGAGATTCAACAGCTGCTATGGCGCTGAAGTTTCTGATAAACCGCCTGTAGAAGTTAGCAAAACCCAGGAATTGCTGAACATTCTTGCGGTTATCAGGTGTAGGCCACTGAGCCACAGCGCTGACTTTGGCCAGGTCCATTTGTATCTTTCCAGGGGCTATGACGAAGCCCAGGAAAGACACAACTTTGGCATGAAATTCACTCTTTTCTACCTTAACAAAAATCTGGTTCTCCAGCAGGCGCTGGATCAAAAAATCAAAATGTCATCCAGGTGGTTAAGAAATTATCTAAGCACATCATTTATCAATGCCTGGAACACCGCCGGAGCGTTGGTTAGGCCGAAAGGCATCACGAGGTACTCGTAATGGCCAGAAGGCGTGTTAAAGCCGGCTGTTCCCTCCTTCCACAAAGGCACAGGACTAAAAGAGAGAAGGTTTTTGTTGTTCTTTTTGACAGTAAGGGGGCGGAGCCAGTCACCATGTGTCACAGGTTGGTCCTCTGGGGGGGTCTTGAATGTTTGAATGATGAGCACGAGGCAGTCGGGTCCATTGTAAATTTTTTTTATTGATTGTTCACACCAGCCGGCTCCAGCCTCCTCGCTCGCTCTCTCGCTGTCGCCGCATCTCTCCTACTTAACAGCAGAATACCAAATGCTGATTAACATCAGCTGAGGCCAATTGCCTCCCCCGGCACCGTTCCCTGACCCACTCCCTTCTCAGTCCCCCCCCTGCAGCCGAGCCAAACCACGCCCACCACCACACCATGGTCTCTACATCTGATTGGTTACAAACACGTCTTTGGATTGGCCCGAGTGAGGCATTCACACAACTATAGAAGCCCATTTCCGCACTGAAGAAAGGGGATAGAAAGTCGATATGATGAGAGAAAACGTGAAAACACAAACGACACCTTTATGTAACCGTAGTGGACCGAAAATGACAACCAGCTACAAGCATCATTTACCATCATTACCGGCAGCAGAGACGCCACTCAAAAGCACAAAGGTCCACTTTTCAGAGGCAAAGTGAAAAGCTGGGGATCCATAATTCTATTAGGACACATGTTCTGGAAACATTGACTGTCTCTAAAAAACGCTCATTTCACTGCATGGCTTCATCTCGTTTAAATCAGTTACATTTTACATTTGAAAAATGATTATTGACTGTTGTGGTCTAATCGGATCACGTTTGCTCAGCAGAAAGCGCTCGTGGCTGCTTTGATTGGCTCCTTATTCTCCTCTTCCTCAACGCACACGCTGGCCACACCGAGCTGGTCCACAGCGTCCTTCCCTTAGTGATGCTAATCGCACACAAACCAACAACTTCTAACCAACTACCACGCCACTAACCCAGCACTAAATATCATATATGACGTTATATTTATACAGCTCCAGCTTTACACAGCAACCATCACGTCTGTGATTTACCACCTGAACATATCAGCACAAAAATACCAACATGTTTAAAGGAATTAAAAAGGTTTTTATTTGTTTATGATGATTTTCTTCATGCTTAGTCTAATTATACAGTAATTAGTTTCTTTTCCACAAGCAAATGAAAGAATGAATGAAAATGATGTAAATCTCTTAAGAGTAGTCAGAGGTCAGTGTGGTATCAGACAAAATGTTTGTCTTATACAAGATCAGCTACTAAAGTTATTTTCAAATTAATCAAATCATGATTTCACACTTATGAGAAAAGAGAAACCCTTTGAGAAGAGGGAAACCTTTCATCGATGCAAACAGCAGAAGTTTACGTCGTTACAGACGAGACCCAGTTGGAAACATCCCTCAGACCTCTGACTATCTGAGGTTCAAGCACATCATTGTAAAAGAATCAAGAGAAGCTGCACAATGAAGCAACAAAAATCATCACAACTCATCAAAATAAAACTAGTTTTCAAAGGTTTTCAAAGTAAAAGACTAACTAATAGGAATAAAATGACATGAATCAATAACACATTTGAAGCAGAAAATCAACAACTAAATTGACTTTATGTCTAATAATAGAACAATGTTGTTAATGTATCACTAAGTCCTGACACCAGCGTAGACGGTCTCTGCTGCTGCTTCAGCGTTCTCTCTCTCTGCTCGGACTGTTTTCCTGGCGGTGAAGGTTGGTGCAGAATAAGTCAGAAGGTCTTCATCTCTCTGAGCAGATGGAAAGTATTATGAAACAGCATATTTAACAGCATATTGAAACATCAATAACATCATTTTCTCTATGAACCCACCTGCTGACCTCGGGGGTCACAGCCGGCTGTTTGAGGAGTAACTGCATCTGTTTCATAAAAAGAAGCAGAGCTTTAGGAGGAAAGACTCTGGAAGCTTTTGAAGGAAACTGAGAAACATATTTTACCGTTGCAGCATTGACAAGTTTTCCTCTTGATAATAAACATCAGGAAGACGACAACAAGCAGACAAAAAGCCAGAGCTGCTGACAGGACGATCAGAACTGTCTCCTGCAAATCCCACATGAGGGGGGCTGAAAGAAGACCAGCA